TGGTGTTCGCTTGAAACGCCATAACGAGAGATTGCCGTTGTAGGGTTACGCCATTACATCATATAAAGTTGATGGGGATTTTTTAGGGTTTGAATAAAGAAAAGTATCTTCTTCTTCTTCAGGTATCAGATTTGGAGCAGGCGTTCACGATCATGGTTTTTCACTCCTAATTACTGTTGACTGTCTTCCTCCTGATCCTCTCAGTTTTTTCTCACTGAGTTATCTCTTACACAATTGTTCAAATCATTGGTTTTGTCTTCCTCTGCCCTTCTTTCTCTCTATCTTTCCACACACCAGCAATTTCTCTAATCCATTAATTTGATTTATTTTTGTTGTAAAACAAAATCACATCAAACTGTCTCTTTCTTATCTGTGTGCATAAATATATATTGCATGAGAAGAAAGGAAGTAGTATGAAAGGTTTTGAAAATGGGTATTCCAATGTAAAGCGAATTGAGCTACATTTTTGGAAATGCGCTATATAAATGTGATATATTATTATTATATTATTATTTTTTAGATATTTCAGAACGTGCCATTTGGGTGACTTCTTTGTCTGTTCTCCCCTCTGTCTGTGAGATTCTGAGTGGTATTGCCCATAAATTATTACCACATTTTGGTGGCTTCCAATCTTCTCGTCGTGTCCTTGTTTCGAGTCCAGCCCTTGCATCCATACAAAAGGATTGATCACGTGTCCTATTCCAGGATTCTTATCTTTGTATGTATTGTTATGTATCTGTTTGAGAGGACAGATTTCATCTTGTTTAAGTGTCGTCATAAGATGTTGTAATCTTCTTTATTTTGTCTATGTGTAGGTTATTTTGTGTGTGGCTTTTTTTTTTTTTTTGTTCGGTTTTGTTTTTGGGGTTGTTTTTTTTTTGTTTTTTTTGCTTTTTTTTCCATTTGATGTAATTATGCAACCAATGTATTTAAAGCTCTTGACTTGTTTGTTTTTTTAATCCTTTTGTTCTTACACGAGATGTTGCATTCTGGGATTTTGGCACTTCTTTATAGATCACCATGCCTTTCGTCTCAGTGGAGCGTTGAGACACAAAAATGGAAATATAGAGGAAAAGGAAGGTAAATGGGCCGAAACAATAAAAGGGGAGAAGAGAGGTAGTTCTAAACAAGCTGACTTCTAAGTTTTTAGAAGCCATTTGGGGAAAAAGCGAAAGAAAAAAGCAAGTTTCAAACTTGAGCAAAAAACAAACCAGAGACAGAACAAACATAATCAGGTATAACAATACTTAAAAAATACTCTTCACACCTGGGGGTTTTTTTTCACTGAATCACAGCTACTTTATTCACTCAGAAAAATCAGTTTTATCAGAGTAGTTGCATGAAAGTATACGGCATGTTGACAAAGTAACATAATAGTATATTGTGTCACGACATGGTGGAATCAGGCACTCATCAACGTTTAGGCCCATTAAGAATTCATTGGTTCAATCTTAAAGCTAGTTCATTTGCCTAGCTTTTAATTTTAAAAAATACCCATCTAAGAATAGCAGTCGAGATATTTACAATTTAAGGAGGAGAGGGTGCGGGAGGACGCCCAGCCAGTATTAGAGGTCAAATTAGAGAGGAAATGGCCGCCAAATTGTGGGTAATTCCCAACACCTTAGTGTTATCGAAATTGTTAATTTACTTTATTTTTATGCCTTTGATCAACGTTTTTCAGTTTTTAAAAAATCCCATTCAGGAATGTATTTTGAAATGGACATTAGAGTTTGAGCCCAGAAGAGTAAAAAATTCAATTATGTTTCAATTGCCCAACGGGAAAGAAAAAATGTGGATATCTTCGATTCCATCGTTTTGACGAGTGCCTGATTTCACTGCTATGCCACACATTGTCTTCCTTTTTGACAGCCACGATGAACACTTGAAGACTCCTCGGCAGGCACTGGACACGAATTACAGTTTGATTTTGAAGCGTGGAGAAGAGAATTACATAAAAACAAACTGTACATGTACAACGCTCTCTCTTTCTCTCTCTCTCTCTCTTTCTTTCTCTCTCTCTCTTTCTTTCTCTCTCTCTTTCTTTCTCTCTCTAGTTTGTTCTCACTATCTCTCTCTGTTTGTTTTTCTCTCTCTCTCTTTCTCCCTGCGTCCAACTCT